CTACTTTTGTGGTTGTATTATAGTATCAGCGGTCCTGAAAAGCGCAAGCAGCCGTTCTTTGCTGAAAAGGCAGGTTCTAATCTAGAGGAAGGCAGGGTTGTTTGCCATGTGATGGAAAAGGCACTAGCAAACCTGTACGTTTTTCTTAAATCATCTAAATAATAATTAAATATTTCCTAATTTATTTGTCATCTCTGTGCGTTCGGTCAACAACTTATTAGAAATATCGCAGAATAAATGAAATAATTATTACTACGTTCAATACGAACATTTTTTACATATGTTTCTTCGGTTTTCACTCAAATATTTTTTGTCTCAGTATATCTTGCAAACTTTACTTTTCATAGTTTTCTTACCCCGACACAAATTTGTCAGTCATTATATTGTTCGTTCAGATGTTCGACAAGATGTATTAAGTCCATTCGTCAAGGTGTATAATGTTTTTGTAACGCCCTTTTTAAATTCATCTGCTGCCACTTTTTGTCCTGCATTCTTTATTTACTACTTTGACAATTATTGTTCTCCGTTTTGCACGTCCTTCTCTCCATCCCTAGCTTTGCCGTCGCTTCCCCCGCGTATACTTGTCCTCCATTCTCCTTCTGTGACATGCGCTTCCAAACGTGCGACGTCGTCTTTAAAACGCGCCATACAGTCCAATGTCCGCTTATCTCCAACCTTTGGTGACGCCTCATCCCACGTATACACGGCTATCTTCCTGCCCATAAAACACAGCCCATCAACTGCCCGATCTTGGCGCTGCCGATAGCATGGAACTTCACTGCCGTAGGCACTCTGGCCTCTCATCAAAGAGGCTGCAAAGGACGCCCATTGATAAGGTTTATTGGGAAGTCGTTCCGCCGTCGTTCAGAACACATTAGTTGGCTCTTTTCCTTGGCTCTTCCTTGTTTTGTTGCTCTACGTAAATGACAGCCGAAAGAGACAATACATTAGACATCTCATAATATAATTTTACATGGGAATATACGTGACTAAATCATTAGCAGTTAAATAAGCATATTATTCTGCAAGACATTTTAAAAATTTTTAAGGAATTGTCAAATTTATTGTGACGTATTTCAGGTTTCCCAATGTTGATTGCGCGTATAAAAATCAGGGGTGTTTGGCATTTATTCTTTTGGATTTTACAAAATTGCATGATTATATCAAGGTAATTTAAAAAAAAGAATGAAACATTTATAAAATATATTCACAAGATATGAAACGAGGAGTATGATATTGTATTTTTGCATCTGACATTACATTGTGAAGGGAGAGAGAATTAGACGCTAGATAAAAACATACTATATTATAAAAATTAGGGCAATATACTACAATATGAACTCTAGATTTTTTACATAATTCATACGTATCTTATGATGTTACACTACTTTTATTACATATTTCGCTTTTATTAAGTTTGTAACAAATCGACCCCTCTCATTTATGAGCAATGATGTGTTTGTCACTGGAAGTGAAACCAGTAAAATTGCAGGAACGCCTCCGTAGAAAGGATCTTTGTTTAACATTTCCATAGCAAGTTAGGAAATAAGGCAAAACATACGAACATTTCTATTAGATACTCTAAAGCAAAAAAAAAAAAAAAAATCGAAACATTCGCGTGGTACCTAAAGTTAGGCATGCCAAACGCGCAGCGCTGCGGGCACTAGCAACTTCTCTGACTCCCCTCTCGTTTCCCCTTCCCCCTTCCCCAGATAGGGGTGTACATGCGCAACTTTACCGGGAACTGTTAACGCAAAGCGCATGGAAATATTACGACAAAAGGTTGCTTCTTACGGAAACATTACCAGATTTTTTTCTATCAAATAACTGAGATGTAAATAATGTTTGTATATGTATCACATTATTTATTTCATTTTTATTTTGTTTTTAAAATTATGCCTTATAAAATCATTTTTACAAGGAGCAGGAATGTTTGAATGCCATTTTCTATCCCTTTTTTGTTTTGTTTTATTAAATAATTCTCTTGTTTGTTGTATGTAGCAAAAATATGAAATACATTAACAAGCCTCAGTCGTTCAACTCTTCTAATGAAAATCCTGTTAAATTTATTGTCTCTTACAGGCGGACAGCTTTCTCAACTGATCAGAATCTTTGTTTCTAACCTGAATGTTGGAAGTAAACAGGATTACAAAATAAAATGTTTTCCATTGGGAGGAAGGAAGGACTTTGGGAAGAAGCGGATGGAGTTGAACAGGTGGAGATAATAAATGAAGGGATGGCAGGGCGGAGGTGGATTGGGATGGGAAAGGGGTTGACGG